TAAAATGAATTCGTACAAATTTGTTGTTTATTTTTTGACGTTCTTGAGATATTGTCTTTGTGTTTGAGTTAGATTGTTTGATATTGTTCTTGTGTTTGATGGTAGTTCGGGATTGTCCCTCTATACTATATTATAAAGCATTTGATAAAAACTCTTAAAAAATATTTTTTATGCATGAAGTACTGCTTATTAATGCATATTACTTAAAATTCAAGATTACAAGTAATTGTATATAAGTACAATTTATTAAAGCTCAATTTTTTAATTTGTGTAACTAATTGTAGATAAACATAATCAAATTCAAGATAAACATCTTATTTTAAATATAAAAACTCTGAAATGTAACTAGGATAAATATTTGACTTCTAAGAAAATACTTAATTATTATCTTTATAAAGAATTATATTATTAATAAAAATAAATTACTTCATTATTAAACATAAATTAAATCATAATAAAAAAATTGAATTAGAAAAATCATACGAAAAATAAGAAATTTTAAATAGTTAATTTAATACTAATATCGATATTTTTTTTTCAAAGTTTCAAGATTCTTCAAATTTATATTTTATTCAAAAATAAAAACATTATTGCTTTCTCAAAACCATATAAAACCGTATTATATCAACGGAGAGAAAGAATAAAACAAAATATTAAAATCGAAATGTATCTCGCTGCATTGTGCGAGTATCCTTCTAGTATCGTTCAAGTGAAGGGACATGGAGTCACTTAACGGGCAAACTAACAACCGTTAACAGAAGAGTTCTAATCTGTTGAAAAACCAAACAAAAAGGACCCATTTTGTTAAAAATTCACTTTAAAGACCCAACCCATTAAAATCACCAAAGCAGAGGACGAAAAATGTAATTTGGTAGTATTATTATCATATGGTAGCGTATTACTTAACACTTGTAACCTTGAAGTCATTGATTTTTATAGTACTATTAACATTGGAGAATTTGTGTTCCAATGATTAATGAGTTAGGGGCCGTTTACCAAATATTTATTCGGTAAATGTTTATCGGTAAATTTTAACATTATTATTTATTTATCAGGTAAGATTTTAGTCCACCAAAACGACATCATATGCAACAATTTACTCAGTAAGTGCTAAATAAGAGTCGTCGACCTTACTTATGAGGTAAGACTTTTGGTCCTTGTCTCGCTCTTATCGGGTAATATTCTTGGTCTTTACCATATTCATGCGGTGAGGTAATGTTACTTGTTAAGCGCTTACCCGAGTAAGCGTTTGGTAAACGACTCCTTACTATATCTCATGAACATGTTTAATGTTTACATCTTTCCAAGAATACGCTTTATAAGTACTGTCCCAAAATACTCATCTGTTTTCAGTACATTTTCAGTGTTTGTCTCTCCCTCTTCTTCCCTTTCTCCTGCTTTTTCCGCCTGTATTATCTTTTTGACGCTACATGTAATACCCCAAATTCTGCAAAAAAGTGACTAGTTTAAAAATTCTAAAACGCATAAATTGAAGGATAAAATTCATTTCTCAAGGTCAACACTTGATTACCTAAAATGACAATATAAGATTTAACATCAACAATTTACAAACCAACCTTTCACAAGTCTAGGTTAGAGATTTGTGTTACTAAAACCCAACAACAGTCGCTATCTCCAAGTACAAAAGACATCCCAAAAAAGCTAAATCATTCACGTGCCTCTAGCTAGCACTCAACTTTTCATAGTGTTGCTAGTACCATTGCCCAATAAGGGCTTGATGCACATGTCGACAAGAAAAAGTGTTAGGCTTAACGCCTAGCGAGTTCAAGCAGTTTTAATTTTTGATATAAATAGGTAAAATTGAAAGAATGTTACTTAAATCAAAATTTCCCAAGTGGAATGCATTTAATATAAAATCAACATCTTTCTCAAAACCCATCATTTTCGTGATGAAAACTGAGTAACCAAAGCACCCATCTTAACATGAAACCGAGACCCAATGCTCACACAAAATGTGAGTAAAGCTCAATAGTCAAATATCGAAAAACAAAGATAAAACTCTATTACTCAAAACACCAAAATTATGGATAAGACTCTATATACAAAAGCACCAAAGACATATGTAAACTCAATACCTAAAACAACACATTTCATTGACGGTAGATACTTGTTTCCATTGATTATGGAGGGAACACAAAAGTATGCCACATATCAATGTTATCGCATTTCACCTTAGATTCCTCGACTTTAGTGCACACTATTCCCAGGCATCACCTCAAGTCCACAATACCTTTAATGCATGCCCCCTACCAGGCGTCACCTCAAGGTTACAGTACATTTAGTGCACACTCTCTATCAAGCGTCACCTCAAGGTTACAGTACCTTTAGTGCACATTCCTTACCGAACGTCACCTCAAGGATACCAAATCTTAGGGTCTATTCATTCTAGTTGAGTGCCACCTCAAGGTTCTCGTTCGACCTTCAGTGTATACTCACTAGCATTTAAAGATAGGAACCTCAAAACTTTGTACTTGACAACACAAAGCAATTAACCTTCATGCATACGGGTTAAAGCATCAAAACCACAAACTTTTCAAATTATATCATGGAGGATCAAACACACCCAACGACATGTATAATCTAACTAATTATGCAGTTATAAGCATCTAATGTTCACATACACAAAGAAACACCCAAAAGTTGGGTAAATCCCAACACAATGTTTAACATGATCTACAATCAACTAGAGATTCCAACCAATGAGACTTATGTCTTAAAACATCAAATTGGCCATAGATTTGTTTATCTCGACATTCATGCAAGTAACTGCATAAAGTGCCCAAAACCCAATAATCTACTGCTTTTAAAATCACCAAATATTAACCAACCATGATTCATCATTTGAGAAATCCAAATACTCAACATATATGTATTTTCCCACAATATAATGCCATTCATGTATCAAAGTACGAAATGAGTCAAAGAGACAATTATGTGATGTGATAAACTACCAAAATACAAAAATGAGATTTATATTCTCAAAACGACCAACAACTCAAAATACGTATTTCCCCCCAAAAAAAAAAAAAAATTTAAACCAAAATTCCCATCCAAATAAACACCATTGTATGTAAAAAGTCATCAAAATATTATGCTTTTTATGATTTGTTTATCATAATGTCCAAAAACCACAAATATATGTATTTCTCAAGATGTCATAAAATCAAATGTGTAAAGGATGCAATTTTATTATATACTCAACAACATTGCTAAATCTCAAGTAGAACACGTTAATACTTCAAAATGGACAATTTTGGCATTATATAGTTTTCATAAAACAACTTGAAACTCAGAATGATGTTTAGGTTAAACTTAGTTTTCAAACCCAAATTTTAGCTTCCAAAGGTGAAGACTTGGATTTACAAGTAAATTCTCTAAGCATCCTCCTAAGACAACAATCTAAGTCTAACAAGGCACCAAAATAGCCACAAGCTTAAAATCCAAAAAGATCCCAAAATGAAGTTCAAACACCCAAGAACATACCTCATAAAGATCTTGAAATCATCCACCATAAATCTGTTAGTGTGTATACCTAAGAGCCAATCATTGGATGACTCTGTTTGGACATTGTGTCATGATATTTAATTAATAAAAGACATCACCCAATTATTATATTTATGTATTATTCTGGGTTATATATAATGTTATAACCGGGTTATTAGTTTGGAAGTTTGGGGTTGTTTTTTTATAAGTGATGGAAGTTGAGGGGTGTGTTTTGAAAAATTTGATTTAAAAATCTTAAAACCCCACCGCCTCACCTAAAAGAAAAAGTTGGTGAAGGTCCCTGGTTCAAATAAACAGAAGATGAGGAAGAAGAATTACATATTTATTATATGATATTTGTTGCTGATTTAAAGCCTTCTATATATTTGAGAATTCGAGGTGAGTATTATTTTAAAAGCTTTTTTTGAAGTGTTTTTAATATGAAATCATATGGGTTCCGAATGGGGTGTCTTCGGACATAACTAATTGCTATGTGTTAACATAATTTGATATGTTATTATCAATTGACTGGAATAAGAGTGACATAATCAGAAGAGATGCATATTTGAAAAATATGGCTTAATCAGGAGCTGGGTATATTTTGAAATAAGAGTGGCATAATCAGGGGCTGGGTATATTTTGAAATAAGGTGGCATAATTGGAATCTCAAAAGTGCAGTAAACTCTTTCACATGCACATGAATCGCTCATGTTTTCTTGAGTCATCATAGTCGACTCTTTGCTTCATGGACATAATTCTTCGGGTAGAATTGCCTTTTAGAATCGGACATAAACTCACTAAAAGTTTGCATACTACACGTACTGCTCTCGATGTCTCTATGTCGCCTACGCCACCATAAAGCCACAGTGTACTTCAAATACATCATGGTGGGGTGAAACTTTTTGGCGTCATCATCAATCTCCTAGCTTCGAGATATCTCGTGACCTCCTAAAGAAAATTGCTGATCATTCTAGCTTTTCTCTTGCCATCAAAGGTTGTAGACTTCGGGATCTCAACCCTTGGTGTAAGTGAACTAATGCTTACGTCGTTCACCATGCCTCTCTCACACACGCCCATGTCGGTCAAATTTCTTTAAGTTGGTTAGTGATGGCTTGCTCCCTTCCACCTCTTGACTAGGAATGGGAATGGGACGGGGATCCAAATACCCGTCCTCGATTCCCCGTATGTGTCCCCGTCCCCACTGAGGATTATGATCACATCCCCATCCCCGTCCCCAACAGGGAACGGGGATCCCCAACGGGGAAACGGGGATTGTTTTTAAACCAAAAAACTATAAAATATCACTATTTATTGAACTAGTAAAAACACTACCAAAATATTAAAATAAGACTTAAACAAGACTAAAAAGTTTAAACTAATATTATCAAAGTTAACGTCAAACGTACTAAAACTACATCGAGTTATATCCAAAAGGACCAAAATATATTAAGTAAATTTCCATACTATCTACCATAAAAAAAAATAACAACCACTTGTTACTCGACATCCGCATCATATGTGACTGTTTCATCAAATGCTTGAGGCTCTCCATGTTTTTTATCTACAAAAAGTAAGACAAGTTAGAAAAAAATATAATTACTTGTATGATTAAGAATTTAAATATTTTTTACCTTGAAGTTCTTTCTATAACCAACTTTGAGTGCACATTAATGCTCTCACTGTTTATGGGTGTAGTCGACTATGTTGTTTTGTGATTTGGTTACCGCTCATGTTAAAAGCGGATTCAGAAGCTACCATAGAAATTGGTATGGCTAAAACGTCTTTTGCAATTCTTTGAAGCATAGGAAACTTGGAGCCATTGCATTTCCTCCACATTAAGATGTCAAAGCCTTCTTCATTAGGTGACAATTTTTCGGCCAAATAATCATCCAATTCACTTGTTTTCATGACATCATCATCACACATAATAGACTCAAAATCCATCTCCCATGTAGGTCTGTCAGTAGTGAAATCATCTACATCTAAGGAACTAGCGGTTGATTGTCCTTTTTGTGAAAGTTTGTCGGCATACTTCTTCTTATACTCTTCAAACAACTTGATACATAGGTTATATATATCCTCATAACCTCACTTTTTGCCTCACCACCATAGATTTTTGGAAAGAAATAATTTATTAACTTCAACTTATATCTAAGATCTAACACAATTGCTACACTCATAACCTCGTGTATGACGCTCCAATATTTGTTGAACTTGATCAACATTAATGATGCCATTTGCCTAATAGCATCGTGATCAGGATTTTTCCAACTCAACAAAGACACTTTAATTTCACAAATCAATGAGAAAAAGATGTTTGACGTAGGATATAATGTTTTTGAAAACTTTTCAGTCACACGATAAAATAACTTTAACTTTTCACAAACAATTGACGTCATTGCCCATTCATCTTCACTAGGCAAGCAAACATAACTTCTCTCCTTCTTGCTCAAACGACTAAAGACATCCTTATACTCCAAAACAACATTTAACATAAGATATACCGAATTCCACCTTGTCTTGCAATCAAGAACTAATTCCTTTTCACAATTTACACTTAATTGTCGTGCACATAGTTTAAATTCTTGTACTCTCTTAGGAGAGTTTGTCCAAAATGCAACACTATCCCTAACATTTTCAATAGCTCTCCCAACTATAGAAAATCCATCTTGCACAATAAGGTTAATTATATGTGCACAACATTGCATATGAAATATCTTCCTTTTTAACATTAGCGATGAAGAAGAAAGAGTACCTAAAAGCTTGTCGATTATTGCGTCATTTGTCGAGCAATTGTCAAGAGTCAAAGTTGACAACTTGTTGTCTACATTCCAATCGAGAAGACACTTCATCATAGCTTGTGACAATGCTTCGGCCGTGTGTGGAGATGGCACATATATAAAGCTGTATTAAACAAAATAAGAGATTATTATCAATAAATTAATCCACGATACAAATTAGAGATGCTACACTAGAGATTATTACCTGATAATTTGATTTTGTAAACTCCATTTGCCATCTATATAATGTGTCGTAATCGACATATAACCTTACTTTTGGTTACTTGTTGTCCACATATCTGAAGTTAAGACAATCCTACTCTCATTCTCATCCAAACACCGTAAAGTATAACCTCTTTGTTTTTCATAAATATTCATTATGTCACTCTTTATTGTTGCTCGAGATGGCACCCTAAATAATGGTTGGAGACCTTCTGAATATTTTCGAAAACCATAGTGCTCGACAATAGAAAGCGGATAATCATGTATAATAATCATTTTAGCTAAGTCTTCCCTACAAAGTTCAACATTAAATGAATATTTACTCATTTTCCCCTTTCCATCTAAAGCCTTTTGGTCCTGAACTAGGATATTTGTCTAATATCCTTTGTAACTCTCCTTGGGCAATTCTTAAAATGGTCCTTCAAATGTGTGGTTCCGTCGTTGACTCTACTCGCTAGTTGTTTATTGTAATAATTACACCTTGCAAATCGTCTAACACCATCAACATACACTTGTTCAAAATGATTCCAAACAACCGACTTTAACCTTTTTTGTGGTTGTTCGTTACTCGTGTTAGTGTTAGTCCCTATAGGCATGCTTACGGATTCGTAAGTATCATCACCAGTTGTTTCTTGTTCCTTGTTTCCTTCCATCTCATCACCAAGTATGTTCTCATTTTCCGAAGGTTCCATCTAAAATTAAAAATATTGTATGTGATAATGTGAATGGAAAAACCATTAATGAGAATATATAATAAACTTACAAAGTACAAACCTAAAAGCATCTAAAATTAATTCACAACGGCAAGCGGGAAATTCAACATGCTATACAATTAAAAAAATTCCAAACTAGGACCTCTTAAACCAAGTGAACCACATAATTAATCGTCAACAAAGATACATGAGAATCTCAATAATCTTCAGTTTATTGTCAACAGCTTATACATGAAAATTTACTATTGCTGCTAGCTCTTTAGTTTTTTACTCTATAAAGTTAAGGGAAAGATACATGAGAATCTCAATAATCTTCAACAGCTTATTGTCAACAGCTTAATAGCTTATACATGAAATCAATCTTGAATACTTCAAGAAATCATCCCATATGTTTCTGGCTTTCTACTTCTTTGTACACTAGAAGTATGATGTTGAAATTCGTGAGAGAGTAAGGGGAGAGATCTCACAATTAAAAGCCTAAAACCTTTGATAAGGACTAACTTTGGGGATGTATAAGTTACTAAGTTAGCCGTATGAATCTGAACCAAGAAGTGAAGAAGACATACCTTTCGAGTCTAAGGCTCCAAGGTGAACCGAGTGAATTGCCAAAGACTCCAATGAACAACAGTGAACTGTCGAACAGCCGAAGGAGGGATCGAGGGAGGCAAAATAGAAGTTACGTTCTACTACACACGAGTCGAGGCCGAAGGGAGTAGGGACTGAGGGAGAGGGAGAACCGGAGAAAGGCCGTCACCGATTAGGGTAGGGAGGCTGGAGGGAGAGGGACAAAGAGTCGATTAGTCAGTCGATTAGTCGAAGTCACGTAAAAGGCCAAACTCCAAAGCCCAAAAGGGTTAAACATTAAACAATTATTTTAAAATTACATTACATGTATATATAAAACGGGTACGGGGAGGGACGGGGAGTGATATACCCGTCCCCGGCCCCATCCCCAGCTTGAGCCAAGCGGGGATCCCAATCCCCGTCCCCGGGACCCGGTTTACCGGGGAATCCCCGTTCCCAATCGGAGCAGGTGGACCGGGTTACTCGACGGGTCGGGGCCCATTCCTACTCTTGACTTGTGTGTGCAAGGTAGCTAGCTCATTTCGAATGTTTTCTAGAAGATCTTCTGCTTCTCGGCATAACTCTTTCCTCAAGATATCAAGAGTGGCCTTGACATCATCAAGAACTTTTGAGTCTTCCACTTCCAAGACTACAAATTGTTGGACTTATTCAAGATGATGATCAAGATCATCAATCATTACCTTCAAATCTCTTGTGAACTTCTCCACATCAACAACTCTAGTATTTAAGTTGTCCATCAACTTCTTTGCTTTCCTCGGCTTGGTTAGACTGTTGGTTCCTCACGACGAGACTCTTCCCGTCCTCAAGTGTCCTCCTCAACTATAACATTCGAATCTATGTTGCTTGCCATCTCCTCGAACCTTCATTATGATACCACTTGTCATAGAGTTTTCTTCACAAGCTCGCATACGACCTTAGTTCTTCGACTAAGTTAGCTAAACTACAAGAATACCGAGTAAAGATAAGCAAAGAAGAATGCTAAGATGATTGGGAGAACTCAATACTTCTATTACTCAAGTTGTCTAAGAGTATGATTACGAATGAATGACTCTCGTCTATTTATACTACTCTATGAATTAATATAGAGAACCTATCTAGATATTTACAAGGGAGGTTCTAATTACGCTTGCTCAAACTAGGTGTGGATCCTTTTCGATCTTGCATGTCCCTTCTTGGTCCTTTCATGGGTTTCCTTGATTCTTCTTTAAGGTTCTTCCATTCTCTTAATTGATCTTGAATGTTCTATATGCAGAGAATCTTTTAGCAGGGCGTTATATTAGTTAACAAAGTAAGGTCACGAGATCCTATCCATAGTAAAAGTGAAACCATAGTGACCATAACTGTAATTATTTTGTTCGAGGGACCCAATACGTAATTTTCATATAACCACATGAAGTAAGCATCCACGATAAAGATTCATGTAAGAACCTCACTATTCTACTTTTTTGCAGCAATGTCAATACCACCTCAACAAAACAAAAAACCTCAATAAAACTCTACAAAATATATCCTTAACAAAACCTTGTCTTTGTACTTTTTTTATTATATAACATTATTTGTTTATTATTTACTCATTGTATATAAACTAAAATTATTATAGCAAATTCAAAATATAACTATGATATACACTTTTTCATATTAATTAAAAAAATTAATTGATATATTTCACATTTAACATAAGATATACCGAATTCCACCTTGTCTTGCAATCAAGAACTAATTCCTTTTCACAATTTACACTTAATTGTCGTGCA